GTGGCGCGGCAGCAGGAGGAGGCCCCATTAGCTAAAGTGGTGCTTCAGGTTAAGAACAGTTTCAGGTTAAGTACAGACCTCCAGAACGAATGAAGTACTTAACCCGAGGTACCACTGTAGTGGGAAAGACCTGTCTACCTGAGTCCCTGAACAGCTGCTGTCAGTCAAAGGGCTAGATTGAACAAATAGTCTGCCCTCGTATGTCAGCTTCTTATATTCCAGTTGACTTTAATTGGCTGCTTGCATCAATGGCTAATAGCCATAACTTGAGAGCATGCACAAGAGGCAAGAGTGCTGTTGTGCTCAGGTCCTGCTTGCCAACTTCCCATGGGGCATCTGGCTGGTGAGTGAGAGAACAGAGTGCTGGGCCAGATGAGCCTTTGGACTGATTCAGCAGACAGGCTCTTCATATGCTCTTATGTTCTTAACAGGGAGACTGTTGAGCAACAATAAGGACCATTGATCTACTTCATAGAATCATAGAGTTGGAATAGACCACAAGGGCCATCGAGTCCAACCCCCTGCCAAGCAGGAAACACCATCAGAGCACTCCTGACATATGGTTGTCAAGCCTCTGCTTAAAGACCTCCAAAGAAGGAGACTCCACCACACTCCTTGGCAGCAAATTCCACTGTCAAACAGCTCTTACTGTCAGGAAGTGCTTCCTAATGTTTAGGTGGAATCTTCTTTCTTGTAGTTTGGATCCATTGCTCCGTGTCCGCTTCTCTGGAGCAGCAGAAAACAACCTTTCTCCCTCCTCTATATGACATCCTTTTCCATATTTGAACATGGCTATCATATCACCCCTTAACCTCCTCTTCTCCAGGCTAAACATGCCCAGCTCCCTTAGCCGTTCCTCATAAGGCATCGTTTCCAGGGCTTTGACCATTTTGGTTGCCCTCCTCTGGACACGTTCATACTTCAGCATGGCAGTGGGCAGATTTCAAGGCCCAAATGACATGTGACACTAATCACATGGTTCCTCCTTGAATGGAATGGGATGAGACATCAGTGGTGGTATGATTTACCGTAACTCTTTGCCCCTGCTGTGATTGGGGTCCTGCTATTCCTACAAATGCATTGTGTGTGTGGGGGGGGGAACCTCTCAGTAGATCAAAGGGGAGTCCCTCATCGAATGCAAATTACAGGTTTGAGGAGGGGGCCTGATCCAGATGAGAACCACAGCAGGGTGCAACCCCCTCCCTGCAGACCCTCCAAGTGTGCCTATTTTCCAGGGGCAGTCCCAGATTTACAGAAGCCATCCCGGTTTCTGATTTGATCCTGGAATGTCCTGGTTTCCCTTAGATAAAGGTAAAGGGACCCCTGACCATTAGGTCCAGTCGTGGCTGACTCTGGGGTTGCGGCGCTCATCTCGCTTTATTGGCCAAGGGAGCCGGCGTACAGCTTCCGGGTCATGTGGCCAGCATGACTAAGCTGCTTCTGGCGAACCAGAGCAGCGCACGGAAACGCCGTTTACCTTCCCGCCGGAGCGGTACCTATTTATCTACTTGCACTTTGACGTGCTTTCGAACTGCTAGGTTGGCAGGAGCAGGGACCAAGCAACAGGAGCTCACCCTGTCACGGGGATTCGAACCGCCAACCTTCTGATTGACAAGTCCTAGGCTCTGTGGTTTAACCCACAGCACCACCCGCCTCCCTGGATGCTTTCCCTTAGGATGTCCCTATTTTCATTGGAGAAATGTTGAAGGGCATGGTAGGAAATCCCTGTTTTCATTGGAGGAATGTTGGAGGATATGCAGTGTCCTGTTGTGAACTGGGCCCCAACACTGGCACTTGAGCCCAAGCTACATGATAAACACCAAGTGTATAGTTTGGCCTTTTAAAACAATAAAACTCATTTGTTTCCCCCCCAGTACAATAACTTTTAAGGCAACAAAAATAAAATTAATGCATATTTTTTAATTTTCATTATAAAGTTAAACACATCTATGAAACATAACTGGTAAAAAAAAAATACAAGACATTGCTAGCAGGTTGTCGGTAAAAAACAGGATAAAAAGACAAGGGGCCATGATCCAGGACTCTGCAGACTGCAACACACAAATGGAAGGGATCCACTTGAGCAAAAGGTGGCCCACCCCATTTTCAACAGCATTGTACAAGCATCTCCAGAGTGTGTGCAGGATATTTCTAAACACAGGGAGATAGTAGCAGGCCCTGTTCAGGCTGAGTTTCATGTGATCTACTAGATCGCTCCTTACTTAGATGACAAGAGAAGTAGCAGATTGACAACACTGTTCCCAAGGAGTTATTTCTGCAAATATATACTCTTACTAATATATACATTTATTCATAAAATAAATAATCATAAAAAACCCATCAGACTTAACAAAATACCAAAGAGGGGGAGGAAGATAAAGAGAGAAAGGTGGCGACTCTTCTTTTGTACAATAGCTTTGGAATTTCAGGGTTTGCTTTATTTTTGATAATACATGGGTTCATTATAAAGGGTGGCTGAACAGGAAATAGGGGCAACTGCTAAGATGTTCTGAGTTGGGCCAGTCATGAAGCAATGTGAAGCAGCTGCTAGTGGCCACAGATTCCAGATGGGGTTGCCATTTCCCGGCTCCAATTTCTAGATATTCAATATATATATATATATATGGTGGGTGGGTTTCAGGATTACAGTACATGGAGAAAGTGTTAAACCCCGCTGTTCCGTTCACCATGTTCCCATTCCTCATCCATTGTGGCTGCTAATTTACAGCAACAAAATAACCCGCACTACTCCTCTTTATTCAGCGTTCGTCTTGATTTGCTTGCACAAACTTCATGAGGAAGTTAGATTTTATCTGGTCTTTATTGAGAGTTCATTCTGATTTGTTTGCAGGGAGGCTGTACAATAATGATCATCCATCCTGCTTTACTTGTATGGTGTTCATGTGTCTTCCCATTAGTCATTTGTTCCTCTCACACTTTTTAGTGCATTTAACCATTGCTTTCCTAACTGCACATTTCAAGCTCATGACTTCCCCCAAAGAAACCTGGGAGCTATAGTTTACCCTTCACTGAACTACCATTCTCAGCACCCTTAACAAACCACAGTTCCCATGATTCCTTTTTAGGGATGGGAGGTGCTTTTAAATGTATGGTGTGGATTCAGCTCTAGGACAACAAAACGCTTTAATCCTCTTTAATTGTAAAAATCTAAATTTGCTGGTATGCACATGAATCCCTCCCACAAAATACTGACTGGAGACACCCTAAATGCAATCTATATAATCTGTCACTAAGAATGGTAGATTCTTAAGACTGTGACCTCATTATTCTCACACAGGCAGAAATTTTTTGTTTGGGGTCTACCACCTCAGACTTGACTACAGTACTACCCCATATCAGCACACGCACAACACACATACAAACTAGATGTTAAGAGGACATTTTGTGTCCCACCCCACCCTTGCAGTTGCAATACAGCTTTACCACCTCAATCTAAACCAGGTATGTGACAGTCCATGTCAGAAATGGAGAACCTGTGTTGTTGGACTACAGCTCCCATAATCCCCGACCATTTGCCATTCTCTCGTGGGGCAACAAAAAATAGCTTCTGGAGGATCACAGTTTTCTGGTCTTTGTGCTGTCCAGATGTTGTGGACTACAACCCCCTTCCGCACTGATTATTAAATATGCTGGAAGAAGCTGATGGGAGTTGGGCATCTGCAACACTTGGAAGGCACAATGTTGGCTACTCTGTCATAGATTGCGACTGTGTGGGCCTAGAGTGGCTGCAAAGCACAAGAGATTTGGTTTATAAAGTTGCAGAATCAAGGTAGTTCTGCCCATGGTTGCCCGGGAACAGGGTAGGGGTTTCCTGGGAGCTCCTCATGACCTACAAGGTTGGTGCTACATTAAGGCTCCTCATATTCACCCTGAGATGTCTTTCCAGCTAAAGAATGAGGAGCTACTGACTGGGAAAGGCCATTTGTAACAGTGAGAGATGATTCCAAGATGTCAGTCACAATCACAAATAAATACGAAGAAATAGAGTTGAGAATTTTGGAAAAATGGAAACAAAAGGGTTTTAAAATGTTTCTCAGCAGGGCTGTTGAGCCTTCTCCAGGGTCCTTTGAAAGCCTCCTGGGACGCTGGAATGAGAGGGAGAGAGATGTCTAATCAAAAGTAAAAGAAACAACCTCACTGAAGAGGACCTCATTCATTTTGAGACTCGACATATCATATTTCCGCTATGATTGCAGCTGTGTTTCTGCCCTGGGGTGAATACAGAGGGATTCTTAAGCTCTCTACCATTAAAACTATCTGTGATCACTGGAAGAGCACAGAAAAATTCATTTCAAGTCCATCGAGGGCACTGAAAAGATCTATGCCTATTTAGCGCATAGTCCAGCATAAATCTACACTTGTATGGGGGCACAATCCTGCTGACACTGAGAAACTTGTAAAGTCTCATTTCAGTAGGAGACAATTAAGTGTGTGCTTAACTTTGTCATAGTTGCAACTTTGACTGGAGCCAACTTGTCATATCCCCCATCCCCGATTTATATCAAACCATTACAGTTAAGAACTTAATTTGTTCTGGAGGTCCGTTCTTAACCTGAAACTGTTCTTAACCTGAGGTACCACTTTAGCTAATGGGTCCTTCTGCTGCCGCCGCACCGCCGCTGCACAATTTCTGTTCTCATCCTGAAGCAAAGTTCTTAACCCGAGGTACTATTTCTGGGTTATCGGAGTCTGTAACCTGAAGCGTCTGTAACCTGAAGCATCTGTAACCCAAGGTACTACTGTAGTTGAGATTATAGAAGATGTGTCGACACCGTCCCCAATAATGCTTGCCCTCCCCTTCTCTGCCTCCCTTTACATGGACTGTATCTCAGTGGTGGAGTTGGCTGGGGTTGCTAGGGGTTGGAGTTTAATAACATTTGGAGACCCCAGGTTGGTTCTCCCTGCCACACATGATAAATCCAGAAATGTGTGGGAAATGCTAGTCAGCATATTTTCAATGGGTTTTTCTGGAGATCTTCGTAAGGCTAAGGTAAATGGCTATCTGTATTCACCCTCAAGTACATCTCCACAGCCAACACATCCTTCCATCTTGAAAGGGCTTCCAGAACTTTTGCTTGAGTGTTGCAAGGCACACCAGGAACTTGGGGAGTGTGCCAGGGAAAGACAGGTACTTCTGGCCCCTCAGAGATCTATGTCCTCAATGTGGGAGGCCAGCTTTGTTGACTGGAACGACTTCTGTTTCCCCCTGTATATATAAACAAGGAAAACCCCCAACAAGGTATCTGCTGAGGAAATTGAACCATCTGAGGGGGGGGGGAGTGTTTGCAATGTCTGCAGTTTCAACTGTCTGATCACACAAATAGTCATGCGATGAACAAAAGAGAAAATATGCATCTTTGCCCTGGAAAATGGAAACGGTATGAACTCCCTAGTTGAGCTTTGAAGGATTTTCTTCTGAAAACATGACCTACATGAAAAATGGAGTCAGTTACCAAGTTTTTGATTTTGTGGGAACTGCAGATACGCCATTCTGGGGTTATGCTTGAGGGGGTATGTCTAGATAAGGGCAATTTGCACATTTCAGTTGAGAAACTCTGGCTGAAATGGTTTCATTGATCAGAAACCTGCCTGAACATTCATGATGGCTCCAAAGAATGCCCATTCAACATTTCACTTCTCATATTGCATGGCTTGGATGAAGACCCAGGGTATGAAGGTGAAAGGGTGTAATTGCCTACCTTTTTGATTACTGTGATTTAATGTCATTTAACAATCTATCTACCGCAGTAAGGCCTGGCAGCCATTTTGTCCGCAGAGGCCTGCTGTTGATCCTGAGGGAGCCAACTGTTTAAGCCACAATGTTATATTCCCAGTAGACAGCCCACAACTGTGACATTATTTCCTATGGTAAAAATCCCACCCAGTACAAGTGGGCTAATAAGCAGTGCCTTAGCAATGCCCACTTGAAACTGTGAGATGGTGTACATATGTATATATATATATGTAACAGTGTGTGTGTGTGTGTGTGTGTGTGTGTGTGTGAGAGAGAGAGAGAGAGAGAGAGAGAGAGAGAGAGAGAGAGAGATTTTTACCATAGGAAATAATGTCACAGTTGTGGGCTGTCTATTACATTGTTTAACAAGCATAACACACAAGTGCCACCTCGCTTCCTGTTTCCTTCTCCCATAGTAGAAGCATTGTCTGAATTGTCAATCAGTTCAGGATTTGAATATATTACAAAGTTTGGCAGTTCCACAGAGTGAAGAGTCATTTGCAAGTTCCTCCAGTTCCTGTGAGAGGTTGAACAAGGGCCTTTAAAAACAACAACACACCACCTGTTGTTAATTCTATACATAGAAACTTAGCTACAGGCTGGGCTGGAACATTAAGAGTCATTGCGCTAGAAGCTTCTTCCATGCTCATAATGCACAAATAGGCCATGTTTCAGGAAGATGCACAACATTCAAAGGACACTTAATAGCACGAGTTTTGCCATGTGAGTTGAAAGGAAAGAGCAGACACACCAGAACCTTCTGGAAACCTGCTTGCCGTCCACTATCCAGCTCTATGTTTTTGACTAGTTAAAGAAACCAGTCTCCTGTGGGGCAAAAGGTCAAAAACAGCTGGTTGGTTGGCATCTCGGTTTGTCAGGAATTGCAAGGTTAACATCCAGATGTGATGGTCGAGAAGAAATGATATCTATTCTAGCCAACCAATGCTAGCTTCTGCGAGTGAGTGTGTGTGGATCTCAAGAAGTCAACTTTCTCCTATAGAAAAAAGTAATCTTTGATTCTTTTTCCACGGCCATCCCATCTTACTTGCACGTGTGGACATCATAGACCCGTATGCACTCCTGACAGCTGACGTAGCAGCACCAATGGAAGATACAATGGCACTTCTCCTTCCTCTTCTCAGTCCGTGTGTTGTGTCCTCGCCCGCAGCACAAGAGGTCGCAACCATCAATCCCATGGGAAGTGACGTTGCAGATCCTGTCGCGGGTGCCAAAGGAGCCAGTCTCAGGGTTTGGCTCGCAGAAGTTGGGTGAGTTCTCATAATAGACCAAATCCCTCTCGGTTGGTGCTTTGAAGAAGTTATATTTGGGCCGCAGTGTCTCCACCCAGCCGCGGGATTCCCTATGCTTCTCCACCACCATTTCTGAAGCGCTGTCATATTTGTCCTTGAGGTAGTCGCCAATAACCCGGAAGTCAGGCTGGGACCACCAACAGGTCTTTACCTCACAGCTGCCTGACAATCCATGACACTTGCATTTGAGGTGCATGTGGTCAATAATGGACTGAAAAAGGAAAGGGGGAAAGAAAAAGAATGGCAAGGAAGGCAGAAGAAGGAGAGACAACATTAGTTTGTAGTATGAGGAAACATTCAATATGGCATTTTTAAACTTTGGAGGGTTGGCAGTTCCCAGTTATCCAGTAGTGGTTGGTGGTACAATTCTGCTTATCTAACCTCTTGTCATTGTCTCTGTGGTTTACCTGGAGGGGGAGCAGAGAGCTGGCAGCATGGTGGTTGCGGTGCAAATGCACCAGCTGGAATGACAGATTGGCTCCGCTGGTGCATTTGCACAGCACCGGCCTCACCCCTTTCCCTCCTTGGTAAACAGCAATGACACTTGCGGCAGGAAGTCAGGCGTGTGCCGCAGCTCTGCCAATGGCTACAACAAATATCTCAGCATTTTAGGATGCTGGCAAAGTACCAGTTTACAGTCTAATATTCGTGCATTTGCTGGACCCAGAAATCTTCCCTCACTTTAGTACTTTTGTTATATCCAAGTCCTGAGAGTTGCCAACTGATTTTAAGGTGCAAGGTCAGATTTTGAAGCTCAATCAGGCAGATTAGGGGTAAAATTCCTTTCAGCTGCACCAGGCTTTTACCTCCCCGACACCTGATGTCACATATGACATCAGGTGTAAGGCAGGTGGGTGCAGCTTGGACATAATGTCCTCCTAGATGTGCCTAATTAGACCCACAGGCCAGAGGTTTCTCCTTTCTGCTCTACAGAGCAATTTGATTGTTCCTGCCACCATTACTTGTTACTGTTGCAGTTGCCACTATGGGGATGTCTTTTTTGACATTTGGAAGAGCACGTGCTTTGCATGCAGAAGGTCCCTGGCATCTTCAGGTAGGGCTGGGGAAGACTTGTCTGAAATCCTTGAGAGCTGCTGCCAATGTGGACAATACTGAACTAGAGGACAAGGGCTCTGACTTGTTATAAGGCAGCTTCCAATATGTTTGACAGTAAAACCTTAGCTAGCTGTAGAGTAGAAGTATAGTGAAAACAATGAGATTGTAGGTGACTATGCAACTTGCTTGTTTTTTTCCTTCTCTCCTCCTCTGACCATGGAGGAAAAGTTCATCAGCCAGATGATTGCCTCCTAGCAGCCTTAAATGGTGCAGTCAAGGAGAACAGGATCAACTGGATTCACTGATTGTGCAATTTGGTGCCTGCTTTTATATCTGAAGCAAGTTGCTAAATTACAGTGGTGCCTCGCAAGATGAAATTAATTCGTTCCGCAAGTTTTTTTGTTCCGCGAGTTTTTTCGTCTTGCGAAGCACGGTTTCGGAAAAGTTTTGGAAAAGCTTCAAAAATCACCAAAGTCTTCAAAAACCTCAAAAAAGGCTACCACACCGCGTGCTATGAGTTGCTCCTCGAAGTCAAGTCGCAACTGTATTAACGGTGTTAAGAAAAAGGAAACAAACTTGCAAGACATTTCCGTCTTGCAAAGCAAGCCCATAGGGAAAGCAACTCAAAAAACCAAAAACCCTTTCGTCTTGCGGGTTTTTTGTCTTGCAAGGCATTCGTCTTGCGAGGTAGCACTGTATTATAGTGTTGCAGTCACCACTGAGGGAATAGAACAAAACCACGGTTTTCCTTACCGTCCTTCCAGCTTCGTTATTGTGTCTGTTCATGGCCGACCGAGCATCTGGCCTGTTCTCTCGTGCATCCGCAAACTCCCGAGACACCATGCTCCCAAACTCCACATCCTCGCTGCAGCCTCCCCATTTCCAGCCTTCCCCCGGAGGACCCTTGTGCCGTGTGTCACAGCCACAGATGGTGGCCGATCCTTCCGCACAGGATCTGGTCACTGCAAAAGCCACACCAGCAGAGGCAATAGCATGAACGAAGGCTGACTCTCTGGTGGCTGTGGGAAGAAAATTAATGTCATGCTCAGTATCCGTTACTCAAGGACAATGGGGTTACTTTCACAAATATAGCTTGGAGACTGGAAGGTTGGAGTAGAAAATTCATCAGCCACATTAATCGGAAATTATTTATTTATATTAATATTATACACAGGAGTTAAATGTACCAGTTAGAAATACTGGAAACCAGTATTATTTCCAGTGTGCTGCTGGTTGCAGCTCTGGATGAATTACTGCTCTGGGCTTATGTCCAATCAGAAGCCACACTCAGACGTGGACCCTTAACCTTAACCTCCCCTTTAATATTGGAGGCCATTCATTAAAAACCTATAGCCATCCCAGGATATGATTGTTTAAGACTCACTGAGCCCTTTTCATGTCTACAGTACAAATTAAATCCAATAACTAACCTGTTTAATAGCTATGACCTCCAATGAATGAATGAATGAATGAATGAATGAATGAATGAATGAATACCTTAACACAGGGTGGTCCAACATCAGTTTGCATTTACTTAAAAAAATAAAGTCCTCGGGAAAATTCACCAGCATATTAGTGCTAATTTATCTTTATTATACACATATTTTGTATGGAATTTTGCCTGATTTACACATTTTTGCAAGGAATTTCCCCTAACACAGTGCATTTTCACACATTATATTCACTAATATAAGCATCTTAATATGTGCATTTTGGTAGTTATTGCGTGCCCAGGCTCTGCACTCCTACCTTCCCTGAGTGGTTATGAATGATGGACACAACAACTTAGACTGGATCAAATAATTTCATAGGTTTCCATGAAAATGTATGCCAAACCAAATTTCTCCCCCACTTCTATCTCTGGAGCAAGCAATCTGGGTTCAGCTTTGACCCAGAGAAGGAGAAGGGGAGAGAGAAAAGGCCTCTGAGACTTGTGAATTGCTTCCTATGCCTGATAAAGGGTTTGGCTCTGTCTGTCTAACCCTCCCCTCCCCACACACCACCATCAATGGCTAATAGCTGGCCTGACCCTCTTTAGCTTTGGTGAGCTTACCTGAGGCGTCCTGGGCCTCAGGGCCAAGAGAAAGGCTAGCCTTGGAGATGAAGATAAACAGGAGGAAAAGCACGCACTTGTAATGGAAATGAGGGGTTATTTAGCTGCCATATAAAAATGTAAGAGCCTCAGCTGAGATAAGAGGAGGGAGAGGGAGAACGGCAGGGCTTGTTTTTGTCAGCCAGCCTGGGTGGTTCTTGGTAGCTGCAGAAGAGACAGGCAGCAGGTCGCGACTTGAGAGAGACGAGGCCTTTCTGGAAAGTCAGCTGTCAGTGAACAGAAGTACGGGGAGGAATCCTTACCTAGAGGGAACAGAGAGCATTCCTAACAGAGGAGCTCAAAAGAAAGCGAGAGAAAAGCCAGCCTGCACCATTTCACACACCTTGGCAAATTCACAGAGGAAAAGGCTGTCAGTGGTTACTAGCCACGACCTACTTCTACAGTCAAAGGCAATGTGCTTCCATATGCCAGTTGCTAGGAACTGCAGGTGGGGAGAGCAGCTGTGGCCTCCAATTCCTACTTTTGAGCTTCTCATTGGGGCATCTGTTTGGCCACTGTGAGAATAGGATGCTGGACTTGCTTGATCAAGCAAGGCTCTTCTTTAGTTCTCATGAAGCCTCCAAAGAAGCTCCTTCCAAGGCTCTGAGGAAATGGGGGGGGGGTGTTGAACTTTATGAAGAGGCTTGGCTGTGGCGATGGATGGTGAGGAGAGAGGGAGACGCCCTGAAAAGTACAGTCATACCTTGGAAGTTCCAAAACGTTTTGGAAGTTCCATACCTTGGAAGTTCCAAAATGTTCGAAAACCAAATTGCAGCTTCTGGTTGGCTGCAGGAAGTTTCTGCAGCCAATCAGAAGCTGCAGAAGCCCCGTTGGACATTCAGGTTCCAAAAGAACATTTGCAAACCGGAACAATCCCTTCTGTTCAACAGTGGAAAGGTCTTCCTCGGAAGGTTGTGGCCTCTCTTTCCTTGGAGGTTATTAAGTAGAGTTTGGCCGGCCAACTGTCATGGATACTTTAGCTGAGATTCCTGCATTGCAGGGGGTTGGACTAGATGACCCTCAGTGTCTCTTCCAACTCTACAATTCTACTTATTTTACTTACATGATTGCAGCTTTGTGTGTGTTAGGGGGGGAAATAAATAAAAGGCGTGTGGAGGAAACTTATTCTTCAATTATTCCCTCCCTCACACCTCCACACCAAGCTATGATGGTGGGCTTACCCAGCTTTGCAAAGGACAAAGGCAGTGTGAGGGCTGTGGCCTTCCCAAAGCCCGGTAAGTGAGGACCTGGGCTTTGGAATGGAGATGCAAGGTCTTTGGCAGGGTCCTAGAGTGCTTCTGTCTCCTCCCCAAAGCCAAGCAACTGCTTACCAGGCTTTGGGAAGGAGGTGGGAAGGCTCTGGGACCATGCCAGAGCCCTTGCACTTCCCTCCCAAAGCTGAGTAGGCAGCCCTCCACCTGGCACAATGGCAGTTCTGGGAGGTAGAATCATAGAATCATAGAATCATAGAGTTGGAAGAGACCACAAGGGCCATCGAGTCCAACCCCCTGCCAAGCAGGAAACACCATCAGAGCACTCCTGACATATGGTTGTCAAGCCTCTGCTTAAAGACCTCCAAAGAAGGAGACTCCACCACACTCCTTGGCAGCAAATTCCACTGTCGAACAGCTCTTACTGTCAGGAAGTTCTTCCTAATGTTTAGGTGGAATCTTCTTTCTTGTAGTTTGGATCCATTGCTCCGTGTCCGCTTCTCTGGAGCAGCAGAAAACAGCCTTTCTCCCTCCTCTATGTGACATCCTTTTATATATTTGAACATGGCTATCATATCACCCCTTAACCTCCTCTTCTCCAGGCTAAACATGCCCAGCTCCCTTAGCCGTTCCTCATAAGGCATCATTTCCAGGCCTTTGACCATTTTGGTTGCCCTCCTCTGGACACGTTCCAGTTTGTCAGTGTCCTTCTTGAACTGTGGTGCCCAGAACTGGACACAGTACTCCAGGTGAGGTCTGACCAGAGCAGAATACAGTGGCACTATTACTTCCCTTGATCTAGATGCTATACTCCTATTGATGAGGCCCAGAATTGCATTGGCTTTTTTAGCTGCCGCATCACACTGTTGGCTCATGTCAAGTTTGTGGTCAACCAAGACTCCTAGATCCTTTTCGCATGTACTGCTCTCAAGCCAGGTGTCACCCATCTTGTATTTGTGCCTCTCATTTTTTTTGCCCAAGTGCAATACTTTACATTTCTCCCTGTTAAAATTCATCTTGTTTGTTTTGGCCCAGTTCTCTAATCTGTCAAGGTCGTTTTGAAGTGTGATCCTGTCCTCTGGGGTGTTAGCCACCCCTCCCAGTTTGGTGTCATCTGCAAATTTGATCAGGATGCCCTTGAGTCCATCATCCAAGTCGTTGACAAAGATGTTGAATAAGACCGGGCCCAAGACAGAACCCTGTGGCACCCCACTAGTCACTCTTCTCCAGGATGAAGAGGAACCATTGATGAGCACCCTTTGGGTTCGGTCAGTCAGCCAGTTACAAATCCACTGAGTGGTAGCATAGTCAAGACCGCATTTTACCAGCTTCTTTACAAGAATATCATGGGGCACCTTGTCAAATGCCTTGCTGAAATCAAGGTAGACTACATCCACTGCGTTCCCTTCATCTACCAGGCTTGTAATTCTGTCAAAAAACGAGATCAGGTTAGTCTGACATGACTTATTTTTCAGAAATCCATGCTGACTATTGGTGATCACAGCATTCCTTTCTAGGTGCTCACAGACTGTTTGCTTAATGATCTGCTCCAGAATCTTCCCTGGTATTGATGTCAGACTGACTGGGCGGTAATTATTTGGGTCCTCTCTTTTCCCCTTTTTGAAAATAGGGACAACATTTGCCCTCCTCCAGTCTGCCGGGACTTCGCCTGTTCTCCAGGAATTCTCAAAGATGACTGCCAGTGGTTCTGAAATCACATCTGCCAGTTCTTTTAATACTCTTGGATGCAGTTCATCTGGCCCTGGAGACTTGAATACATCTAGACTAGCCAAGTATTCTTGTACTATCTCCTTAGTTATTCTGGGCTGTGTTTCCTCTGCTGAATCATTTGCTCCAAATTCTTCAGGTCGGGCATTGTTTTCTTTATCGGAGAAGACTGAGGCAAAGAAGGCATTGAGGAGTTCAGCCCTTTCTGTGTCCCCTGTTTGCATTTCACCATCTTCTCCTCTGAGTGACCCCACGGTTTCTTTGTTCTTCCTTTTGCTACGAACATACCCATAAAAGCCTTTTTTGTTGCTTTTAACCTCTCTAGCAAGCCTGAGTTCATTTTGTGCTTTAGCTTTTCTGACTTTGTGTCTACACGTGCTGGCTATTTGTTTGAATTCCTCTTTGGTGGTTTCCCCCCTTTTCCATTTTTTGTACACATCCTTTTTTAATCTTAACTCAGTTAAAAGTTCTTTAGATAGCCACCCTGGCTTCTTTAGGCACCTTCCATGTTTCCGTCTCATTGGTATTGCCTGAAGTTGTGCTTTTACTATCTCCCTCTTAACAAACTCCCAGCCATCTTGAACTCCCTTTCCTTTTAGTATTACTGTCCATGGGATCTCACCCAGCACTTCCCTAAGCTTTATGAAGTCGGCTTTCTTAAAGTCGAGAAATTGAGTCCTAGTATGCTTGGCTGCTCCTTTCCGCTGTATAGTAAACTTCAGAAGAGCATGATCACTCGCGCCTAATGATCCTTCCACTTCTACCCCACTAACCAGGTCATCAACATTGGTTAGGACCAGATCTAAAATGGCTGTTCCTCTTGTTGCTTCTCCCACTTTCTGGACAATGAAGTTGTCTGCAAGGGCAGTGAGGAATCTGTTTGACCTTATGCTCTTGGCTGAGTTTGACATCCAACAAATATCCGGGTAATTGAAGTCCCCCATTACTACTATCTCCCTTCCTTTTGCATGCTTGGCCATCTGTTCCA